TTTTGGGCAACAATTCATCATGGCTGGTGTTGGGTTCCTGCTATTGCAAAACATCAGAGGCATGTAACTTCTGGTTGTTCCTTTTTTAGTAATGCTAAGGTTGATCACTGGGTTCAGATGTTATCAACCTGAGCCATCCAATAAAACATTTCCCATACATTTTTAAAAAATTTATTTATTTTATTTATTTTTGGCTGTGTTGGGTCTTTGTTGCTGCGCACGGGCTTTCTCTAGTTTTCTCTAGTTGCAGCGAGTGGGGGCCACTCTTCGTTGCGGTGCATGAGCTTCTCACTGCGGTGGCTTCTCTTGATGTGCAGCACGGGCTCTAGGTCGCAGGCTCAGCAGTTATGGCGCATGGGCTTAATTGCTCCACAGCATGTGGGATCTTCCCAGACCAGGGCTCAATCCGGTGTCCCCTGCATTGGCAGGCAGATTCCCAACCCCTGTGCCACCAGAGAAGCCCCTCCCATAAATTTTTTACCTAATACTTTCAGCAGCCTAGATCCATTATTTCACTACAGGTGACAAAAGGGTGATTTCCTAATCCTATCAATTCTCTGGCATTTAGTTATGATTCTTAAGTGAAAAACGTTCTCTTACCAGGTTAACCTGGTACACAAAGAAATCAGGATAAATACCTCATTTTTCCAGTTAATTTTCAAAATAGTAAGTTGGTGCCCTAATAATCTCCAAAGATGACTAATAGATTTTTTTTAAACTATCATTATGACCTCATAGATTTTTATATATTTCATGTCAATTGTTATTCTTTTTGATGTTCAAATTGTTCCATCTTTAGCCAATGGCAGCCCCTTCCAGTTGACTCCTGGGTCCTTTTGACATGACCTTACTCTGATTGCTTTCTTGCTTTCAGACACAAGATGGTCTAGCCTCATCTTGTCCCTTCCCTGCCCCCTCTAATGGGACAGTCTTGGTGCTAGGGTATGCCTTGCCACTGACTTCTGATTGCTTCTAGGCCTTTTCAGTGGATAAAGCTATGCAACATGTATTTTTTAGGAAAAATAAATCACTGTATTTTGCTGGTACTTCCAACTGAAATATACAATTACAGAGTTTTTACTTAATTTTATTCTTGTATCTCTTCTTTCTTGTACTAAAAATCTTGGCTCTTACTTCCTTTGACTTAATATTTGCTTTATCATATGTAAATACATAGAGTTTCAAAAGGACAACACCAATATCATTGTTAAAAATAAAAATACTAAATGCAGTTTAAGTTTTCATTGTAGTTCATAGATATATTCCATTAGGAAAGTGCAGACAAATGCTGGGCTTTAAAGTCGCTTGAAGTAATTGTTCTGTGAGTGGTTACACCACCAATTTGATGGATAGTGAAGTTTTAGTTTTAAGAGTTGATTTTTTAATTATAGAAAACACTGACAGGGTCCCAAAGTAAAAAGTATAAAAGAAGATACAGATCTAGGTGCCATCTCTGGCCAGCTCCCTACCACCACCCCTAAGGGAACTGATTTATTAGTTATTGATGTAATTAATCCTTCCATTTTTCTTTTTTTTTTTTAACATAAGTAAATGCATGCTTGTTTTTTCATTTGTCCCCTCCTTTCTTACACAATCAGGTAGCACAACAAACCTGCTCTTCACTTTCACTTCCTATACTCTGAAGAGGACTCCAGGACAGCATTTTTTTGGGGGGGTGCGGGGGGAAAGGGGCAGGAGTTCAAGATTGTTTTTATTTTCAGAGCCTGCAACAGTTGGTTAGCAATGCCAGCTAAGCTGGTACAATCCGAAGGCCATCCCACCTCCCTTTTCAGGCATTCAACTAGCAGAATCCTCACAAATAAGATTAGAGACCAACTGAGATGTGTCTCCATGTGTGTGTGGTTCTGCAGCCAGGTTTCTTCCATCAATCCCCTCTAGATGGAGATTTGGGTGGCTTCCACTCTTTGGCTGCTATAAATAGCACTGTAATGAAGATCTTTGTGCATACACCATCACATATTTTTACCAGTACACCTCAGATAGATTTTTAGAAGGGAGCCTGTTGGTTGAGGGATAAACTCATATTTAATTTTGATAGTTATTAACAAATTCCATCCACAGGAATCTGTACTTTCTGGAGTGCTTGTTTCCCCACTGTCTCACTAACAGAGTGCACTGTGTAACTTGGACTTTTCACAATCCAACAGGCAAGAAATGGTATCTCAGTAGTTTTAATTTGCATTTCTCTTTATTATGTGTATCCTCATATGTTTAAGAGCTATTTATTTGCAATTTATTTTCTATGAACTGTCCATATCTTATTTATTTGGTTGTACTGGGTCTTAGTTGCAACAGGCGGGCTCCCTTGTTGCGGCTTGCTGGCTACTTAATTGTGGCATGCGAACTCTCAGCTGTGGCATGCATATGGTCTAGTTCCCTGACCAGGGATCGAACCCGGGCCCCCTGCGTTGGGAGCGCGGAGTCTTACCCACTGCGTCAGCAGGGAAGTCCCTGTTTGTATCTTTTTGCCCGTTCTTTCTGGTTCTTTTCAAAGTTTAGAAATTCTTCACATACTAGGGCTATATTATATTAGCCCTTTGTGATAAATGTTGCAAATATTTTTGCCAGTTTATTATTTACTTTTTAACTTTGCTTTTTTTGGCCATCCAAATGTCTTTCTTTCAGTTAGATATAAACTCCTCCTTTTATTGCTTCTAGATATTCAGTCATAGGAATGTTTTCCCCACTCTCAGATCATAAAGGAATTCACCTATGTTTTCTTCCAGTTATTTAGAAGGTTTCATTTTTACAGTTGGGTCTCTAATCCATTTGGATTTTATCCTTCTGTACAGTGTGAGAAATGGATTCAATTTTACTGTCTTCCAGGTGTTTAACCACATTTGTCTCCACACCGTTTTTTAAGTCTTCTTCTCCACCAGTAAGATGATTCCTTTATCATATACTAAATTCCTGGACTTTTTCTCAATTTTTTATAGTATGTCATAGTATCTAGTAGTGTTATCCCTCCTTCCGTTATTTTCTGTAAAATAAAGTACATTGTACATAATGTACTGTTGTGGCCTCTCCCGTTGCGGAGCACAGGCTCCGGACGCGCACGCTCAGCAGCCATGGCTCACAGGCCTAGCCACTCCGCGCCATGTGGGATCTTCCTGGATCGGGGCATGAACCCGTGTCCTCTGCATCGGCAGGCGGACTCTCAACCACTGTGCCACCAGGGAAGCCCAGATTTTTTTTTTTTAAAGAAAACATTTAGGACCCACTCTATTTTCAGGAATTCAAGGATTGGGACTTTCTGTGTTCGCTCAATCTTCACAAAATTACATATACAATAGCCCAAGGTAAAATTCACTTTTTAAAAAGAATTATGGCAATATTTTTCAAAGAAACCAAAATTAGTTGTTAGGAAAATAAGTTCCACTTGACACCTGGGTACATCTTTTCCCTGAATCACTTGGCACATCTATGGCTAGAAGCCCCATCTACTAAGTGAAACGAGTAACTTCCCTCTAAGTTCTGAGACCACGTTTCCTGTGCAGAAACCCTCCTGTACGACTAAAAAGTGTCATTCACCCAGCAAAGGAAAATTAAGAGAGACTGGAGAGTGTGTCAAATAAAAACACCAAAAATGACCCAAATTATCTGCACCACTTATAGGTTTGAATCTGGCCATCCAAGATACAAACTAAAAAAGTAAAGACTACTTTTATTCTCAAGGTAGAGAAATCTGACTTGGCTCTCCTGTTACCTTCTGGACTAACCTAGTCCATCCCACAATTGAGACAAATTGCTCACTGGGAAGCTACTTGTCATGCTTCAGTGAAATGTGCCCATTTTTGGGGCAGGGGAGATATTGTTGAAAACAGAACATTCGTCTTCCTCACAGTTAATCAACAGGGATACAACCTTACATTTCCTAACAACTAAAGATTTCCTAATCATTTTTTAAATGCAACAATCAAAACTATGAAGTCATTATTTGCTCTAGTTCACTGTTTTTATTTACATAACCACCTTTCTCCTAGACAAGCAACATTAAGCAAAACATAAGGCAAAGATGACTTGCTGGTGACCATCCTATTCAACTTTCTTTTGTGGAGGGTCTTCTCAGTAGTAGCCAGTTACCACATGGAGCTTTTTCTCAGTTTCAGAGAAATTTTCCTTGTATTAAAAACAGCAAGAAAGTGCTACACTTGATGGTAGTTACTGTCAAATAGTTCAATCAACCTTACAGAATTTTTGTAATAAAGTATGTAAGTTATTTAATCAACACAAAACTCTTAAAAAAACAAAACAAAACAAAAAACCCCCCAAGTACTAGCTAACTTCTGGTGCCATGAGATATAACAGCACCACCGATTTTTATATTTTAGTGGTAAAAATGTAATCCAGTTTTAGCACCCATCTACAAGAATTAGATGAAAATATATGATTTGGCTTACTGGAAGGTAACAGTCTTAATGACCCCTCAGTGAGGAAATCTGTTCCTTCTGCTGCATGCAGGCTCAAAGAAAAGAATAACAGTATTAATGGGGGAAAATAGGAGAGACTTTTAGTTAAGGCTTTTCCGTACTTGAAATACTTAAGGATGGATCACATTTAAAACAGTGAACATGGCTTTGCAGCCTTAAATAGAAAACAAAGGAAAATCAGAAAAATCAACGCTAGAAATCAACTCCCATCTTTTTAACCAAAACCCTGTCTCAACACTCCATTTCAAAAATGAAGTGAAGCATTCTAAGAAAGTGACAAATTTTTACATAAAAACACACCGAATTTTGTTTAACTCTATCAGTTATTAGTAATTTTGTTTAACTCTATCAGTTAACATGTATTACTACATGTTATTAGACATGGTATATATAAGCAAGGAAAATAAGGTGCACCTTTACATTATATAAAATAATGAACCCAGAAATCACTTTTTAAAATTGGCAGTACAGACTGCAATATAAAAAATACTTGATATAGCAAAGTTAGATAGAAATAAAAATTTCAGTTGAAAAATTACAATATTTCAGTACAGCAGAGGGACAAATAACCTTTTATTAAAGCTACCAGATTTGGAGACTCTTGTACATGTTGATTTTGGAGAAAGGAAAGTCATTCTTCTAGAAGGCACTACCTGGTTTAAATGTGCTAGCAGCTTCATAAAGAAAACATGGGGAAAGTACAGTCAAGAAGACTGCCTGGTTCTCACGTGAGATTCCTTACTCTCTGCATCGCAGACTGCAAATTATTGCTGAGGAACTGTATTACCCATGTGCATTTCCACGTCATCTGCAGTGTGCTCAGTCCACAGTGTCACAGATCTCCTTCACTTTCTGGTTAAAGTCTTCTGGTTGATCTGCATACACATAATGCCCTGCTCCGAGAATGGCCTAGGAAAGGAAAAGCAGTCAGATGGTCAGTGAGTAAAAGCATTTAATAAAACACAATGACACACACAAAGACACTTAGCAATGAAAGTGAGAACAGCTATATATAAAACATAAAAGAAAAAGCAATACCGATCTGTAGTAACTATTATATACTTCATTAAATAAAGGATCTGAGAATAAAGAAAAAATCCAGTGAACCTTACTAAAATTTTCATATGCAAAAATAACATTCTAAATTGACCTCTAACAATAGGGCCAACAGAAACACTGAACAAAGTAAGCATGTGCTGCCTTGGGAGGTGGTCGCAGTGCTATTGGACCTGTCTGTCCCTCTTTCAGTCTCTCCCACTGCGGAGATGCTGTGACTCTAGGACAGACAAGGGCCTAAGAATGGGGATTCGCTGTCTGGACATGAAGATTTGTATGGGTCAAACCCTGCCCCCGTCACAAGTGACAGCAGGTCTCTGACCAAAGCTGCAGGTATAGCTTAGATGTGAAAGCACAGGGATGACCTGAAATCTCACTGAAAGCAAAGATAATAGAACAGACTTCGCCTACAACTATAAGCCAAAAATAAACCACACACTTACTATAGTCTTCACATACGAATGTGGTCGTAATGACTGGATGCTGGTGCCAGAATTGCCATCTATGCAGGATCGGGCGCCGTAGATGACCGAAACTGGAATGTCAGGGTGCATTTTACCAATTCGCTGCAGCATTGGTCTTTTTGCCCATCCATAGGGGACAGTCATATTTCTGAACGCAGTCTCACCACTGCGTTCAGAGGGAGAAAGGGAGAAAATCATATGTATGATTCTGGGGGATAAGTATGTATCACACTCCCACCTCTACCAAAACAGACTCATATTTAGCTTCTCCTCCTTTTAAGAAAAACCGCAGCTTACATAGAAAATAATTTACTAGGAAGTGTGAGGAAGAAACCCCACAGAAGTTATATGCTTTTGTTAGATAAACAAGGATGCTTTAAACTCTAAAAAAACTCTTAAAAAAAATGATCATCTTCCGAATCAAAACATGCAACCCTAAGTCCCTATCATAAAATCATCAAATTTCCTGTGGGGATAGCTGAAATACGTTTTTTCACTCTAACTTATTTACAAGGGAGCTTTTCCACATGTTCATCGCACCAGCATTTTACCTACAATGGCAAAACCAATACCAAGATAAGAACACATTCAGCTTAAGTATTCTTTGTGTATTGTTTATATTTAAAATTTTCTGCCTGTTATGATGTTTGCCATCTTTAAAAACCTTTCCGGCTGGGGAGAGACAGCCTCCTGGAACTAGCCAATTCGTAGAGACAGCAAAGGACTCAACTGGGACTGCCTTTATATGCAAACTAACCAATCCAGAGCTGCACCTCTTCTGTCTGGCTTGCACATCCCCGGAGGCAATGTTCCTCTGCCTTAATCAGCCCAGGGCCAGGTGCCAGACAACTAGAAACCACCCCTATATCTTAGTGCCCACTGAAATTATTCAACTAGCAAATCCTACACTGCCTACCCTGCGCTGCCTTGCCTCTCCTGCAGAACCCAGTAAAGGCTCCTGCCTGGACTTTCCCTCACTCCTGTCTTCTGCCACCTGACCAAAATCTGGTGCATCCCCCCGACCCTTCAAAGCATTCAGTGACCCCCTCTCTAGGACCTGTGAGTATACTAAACTTTGTTTTCTTGAGCCTTCTCTCATGGCCACAGCTGACTGACCGTCACATAAAATACAGAACGTTTGGCAAACTCCTAGGACAGATCCATTCTGCCGTCATTTCTCTTCTTTCCTCGTACTAGGTGTGCTTCTGAACGGCCGTTTATGAATTCAAGTTCCACCACAAAAAGGCAACAAACTAGGATTACACAGGCACACGTAATCATGGAATGTGAGTAGGTGAAGAACAAACCACTAAGACCATGCAGGAAAACAGATGATGTCCCTGGAACAGGCCACTAAAAATTGTTAAAACAAGTCAATGAAGTGTGTAGACCTAAACCATCAGACCCAACTGCCTGGTGAGTCACAAAACATCAAACCCTTGGGGGACCCCCACACCTCTCCAGCCTCCCTCACCTTTGGCAGAGAACCTCTAACCTACTTTATTAAAAAGACTGAGGCTACAGCTATACCTCAAGTGCTCTCAAGGCCTCAATTTTTTTAATAAAGTAGGTGTACATATTCTCTGACAGAAGTGAGAGAGGAACAACAACAAAAAAAAAGTGAAGGAGGCTGTCTCTGCATCTCACCTCTCAGCCTTTCACCCAAGTTTCAGTCTTAGAAAGGATGAGGTACCACTTTTATATTTTAAAGTACGGTCTATGGCTAGAATCATCTGAAGCATTTGTTAAAGATGCAGCCCAGAACTGCTGAATTAGAGTCTTAGAGACAGAGTTCAGGTACCACTTTCTTTTTTTTTTTTAATATTCAATGGTCTTCACTACAATTATTATTTTTTTTACATCTTTATTGGAGTATAATTGCTTTACAATGTTGTCTTAATTTCTGCTGTACAACAAAGTGAATCAGCTATATGCATACATATATCCCCATATCCCCTCCTTCCTGTGTCTCCCTCCCACCCTCCCTATCCCACCTCTCTAGGTGGTCACAAAGCACCAAGCTGATCTCCCTGTGCTATGCAGCTGCTTCCCACTAGCTATCTATTTTACATTGGGTAGTGTATATAAGTCAACGCTACTCTCACTTCGTCCCAGCTTACCCCTCCCCCTCCCCGTGTCCTCAAGTCCATTCTCTATGTCTGTGTCTTTATTCCTGTCCTGCCCCTAGGTTCATCAGAACCATTTTTTTTAGATTCCATATATATGTGTTAGCATACAGTATTTGTTTTTCTCTTTCTGACTTACTTCACTCTGTATGACAGACTCTAGGTCCATCCACCTCACTACAAATAACTCAATTTCATTTCTTTTTATGGCTGATGTAATATTCCACTGTATATATGCGCCACATCTTCTTTATCCATTCATCTGTCGATGGACACTTAGGTTGCTTCCATGTCCCGGCTATTATAAATAGTGCTGCAGTGAACATTGTGGTACATGTCTCTTTTTGAATTATGGTTTTCTCAGGGTATATGTCCAGTAGTGAGATTGCTGGGTCATATGGTAGTTCTATTTTTGGTTTTTTAAGGAACCTCCATACTGTTCTCCAAAGTGGCTGTATCAATTTACATTCCCACCAACAGTGCAAGAGGGTTCCCTTTTCTCCACACCCTCTCCAGCATTTATTGTTTGTAGATTTTTTGATGATGGCCATTCTGATTGTTGTGAGGTGATACCCTCAGTGTAGTTTTGATTTGCATTTCTCTAATGATTAGTGATGTTGAGCATCCTTTCATGTGTTTGCGGGCAACCTGTATATCTTCTTTGGAGAAATGTCTATTTAGGTCTTCTGCCCAGTTTTGGATTGGGTTGTTTTTTCCGATATTGAGCTGCATGAGCTTCTTGTATATTTTGGAGATTACTCCTGTGTCCATTGATTCGTTTGCAAATATTTTCTCCCATTCTGAGGGTTGCCTTTTCATCTTGTTTATGGTTTCCTTTGCTGAGGCACCACATTTTTGACAAACTCCTCTAATAATTCTGGTACAGAACCCAGAACTGGTACAGAACTGGAGCTCTCATCATCATACTCCATTCTTGATCCTCTCCCTAATGACTGTAGGCTCTGTCTTCCAGGATCCTCCCAGCTCGTCAAGACTTTCAGGCTCTGTTTTCTCTACCGGTGCCTTGTACACAACATCCACAAGTAATTTTTAAAAAAAAGAAAAAGAAATACCTTTGCTTGGCCCTCTTGCTCCCTCTACTATGCTCTCTCTCATAATCACTGTCAAAATTCACGCAGACTCCCCTTCCCCTCGACCCTCACTTACTCCTCACCGCTGCAGCAGTGTTTCTCATGCTGACACACAGACTTGAAGAAGTGCTGAGTAAAAGAAGGGTGCAATCAGCAAATGAACTTGAAAATGCTGCCTAGTATCTCCCACGCACCTGGGAGATTCAAAACCCTTCGGCTTGGGCTTTCCTGGTGGCACAGTGGTTAAGAATCGGCCTGCCAATGCAGGGGACACGGGTTCTAGCCCTGGTCTGGGAAGATCCCACATGCCACGGAGCAACTAAGCCCGTGTGCCACAACTACTGAGCCTGCGCTCTAGAGCCCACAAGCTACAGCTACTGAAGCCCGCGAGCCTAGAGCCCGTGCTCCACAACAAGAGAGGCTGCCGCAATGAGAGGCCCACGCACCACAACGAGGAGTAGCCCCCGCTCGCAACTAGAGAAAGCCCGCATGCAGCAATGAAGACCCAACACAACTGAAAATAAAAAACAAACCAACAACAACAAAAAACCTTTGGCTTAAAAAACGGTTCTAAGAAGATCCATGGTACAGAAAACCATTCTTGTTTAACCCAGAACTCCTTTTTTGTAGAACATTCATACTCATTTGGGAATGCTGCTTTATTTGAAATTCTTCTTTCTCTCTCAACTCTGACCACCTTAACAAGATGCCCAAGGCCAAGACTTCCCTCAACTATCCACAGGCACCTTAGGGGAAGACAGTATGTCTGGCTTTTGTTTTTGTTTTTGTTTTTGTTTTGCGGTACGCGGGCCTCTCACTGTTGTGGCCTCTCCCGTTGCGGAGCACAGGCTCCGGACACGCAGGCTCCGTGGCATGTGGGATCTTCCCCGACCGGGGCACGAACCCGTGTTCCCTGCATCGGCAGGCAGATTCTCAACCACTGTGCCCTGTCTGGCTTTTTAATCTCTCATCAGAATCCAGTACAATGTTTTACATGGTAGGTGCTCCATGAAAAGATGAGTAAATTAAGAAGTGTTAGTCATTTAACTACTTGTCCTTTTAAATTTAGTCATTTACATACTGATAAAAATCTCCTGGACTATTCATATATTTTCAAAAACTAAAAGTCTAAAACACAAACACAGTAAATTTAGATAAACCTTACCTCGGAGTCTGGACATTACAGTGGTAAATGTATTCTGTCACAGTATCATCTGCAAACATTGAAGAATACTTCCGTTTGAAATCAGGCCTTAAACGCTGTACTAGACTTAAACCTATTTAATAGAAAACAAACATTTTAAATTATATGTATGTTTTAAATTATAATTTAATTTATATACAAATATAGAAGAGTTTAGTGTTTGCTTCTATAATGAGCACTACATGCTACATTACACATGTATTCAAATATGTATTTTAAGTGGAAAAAAGCACAGATCCTAGAAACTGCTCTCCTCAAGTTCCCTAAGGAAAGATTAAAATAAGAATAAAAGTCTGTCATATGTTGACTTACTAATATGCTTTAGGAGCTCAAGAACAGTTGCCTAAGACTTGTTTTTGTAGGAACATAAATTGTATTAAACAAGGGAGGTGAATAGGACAGCTCATACATAAAATTAACTTAATAATTTGTATTTCTTCCACAATTACAACACATTAGCATCTATATGAAGTGAATTGGTATATAAATATTTCTTGGGAAAATTAATTCAGAGTTTCTGCTTGGGACACTAGCAGAAGTCCCCGCTAAGTCCATCCACAGTGGCTCTCACGGTCCCACCCCTGAGGTGAGAGGCAGGGGCAAGGCCCCCAAAGCAAAGAGGATGAAGAGCAGGAACTTTTGTCTGGTTACTGTTTTCCCTCGGGGACCCAGGGACTGGCCGGTTTCCCTCTCTGCTATCACTGCCCAATACTCTAGCAAGATCTTATTACTTCTTCACTGGCCCTGCCTTCCCATCTCTGAAGGAATTACACAGCTCCACCAAGAATTCTCATGATGCAGTGGACATTCTGCATCACCCTCACCACCATGTGCAGACAACAATGGGAGGCACAGGACATGGCTTTAAAGGGCCCCTCCTAGGCTTCCTCCCTCCCCCATCATTATCTCCTAACTTCTTTTTATGCTTTACTTTTCCCATAATTGCTACCTGTGTAACTGTGATCAAGCAAAATCCACTTACATGTCAGGACTATAAAGCTCTTAAGCAGCTCATCAAAGGAGGACCAGGCACCTAAGAAGGCGTGGCTCTATTTAGGGGGGGCGGTGAAAAGAGGCTACCTACACGAGTACTGAGGGCATGTAGTGTGGTCACCAATTCAGCCCCTGTGCCCTCTTCTCATTGCTGTAGTCCCGCTGCTCTCCCAAAGGGATGGCACTCAGGCAAGGGCAGGGGCACGCCTGGACAGGGGGCAGCAGAATCTACAGTCACCTATGCAGCAGGTATTGCCTCACCCTCACCCACCCGCCACACCGCTATTCTTTTCTCTTGCTAAGAGAACCTGACTTTTGTGTATCATTTAGGCAGCAACGTTCCCAGGAAAGCAGGCCCCTCGCTCCAGCCCCTGGGAACAAATGATGATTGATCAGTCATAGAAATTTCTTCTTCTTTGCTAATGGAAGAACTAGGGGTGGGCAGAGACATAAGGAGAAGTCTGCTGGGGCTCCCAGGGAAGACGTCCTTCCCTGACAAAGAGCATCATGCTTTCCTTTCTTTTTGTTCGGAGAGCCTGTAAGATCATGCTTCCTGTCCTAGCAACCACTGAGGTAAAAGGTCAAGAGAATCACATACACAGACCCAAACCCTAACATCAAGGAGCTAGCTTTGGGAACAAATGCTAAAACCACCTGCTTCCAGACTGCTTGTTAAGGAAATAATAAAAGGCCTTCTGGTTTAAACCGCTGAGGTCTTCAGTCCCTTTCAGCCAAAAGCCCTCTTAACTGACACAAGCTGTAAGAGGGAAAGGCAGAGGTCCAGACCATCACCATCTGTGACAACGAGGGAAGGAAATTCCCTTGGCTGTGAGGCTGAGACAGAAGAGCTGAGGGTCAAATAACTTAAATCAGAGACTAAACTCAAAATATGACCAGAAACACAAATCAGGAGTCCCCCAAATCTTTGTGAGAAAGGATGACTTTTATCTTCTTAACACTCTGACATTACAGGGCAAGAAAGGAATCTGAGTAATGATACCTGTTATCCCACGTTTATCGGTCAGGTCAGGCTTTGTGACCTGTCAGCTGGACGTCACTAACTGGCCAAAGGCTCAACAGGTCGCTGGGGCTAGCAGATAAACTCCCATGCCTGGGGCTAGCAGGTAAACTTCCCCAAGACACTACTTGCTTGGCTTTTTTCAGAATGTTCAAGGTCACCTAACCTCATCCTTAGCATTTCCCACCTCTTCTGCTTGCTAATTATCTGTAATGTTTACAATATAAAGACCCTTTTTAAAAAAAATAAATTTATTTATTTTATTTTTGGCTGCGTTGGGTCTTCATTGCTGCGCACGAGCTTTTCTCTAGTTGCGGTGAGTGGGGGCTACTCTTCATTGTGGTGTGTGGGCTTCTCACTGTGGCGGCTTCTCTTGTTGCGGAGCACGGGCTCTAGGCGCACAGGCTTCAGTAGTTGTGGCACGCAGGTTCAGCAGTTGTGGCTCATGGGCTCTGGAGCGCAGCCTCCGTAGTTGTGGAGCACAGGCTCAGTTGCTGTGGCATGTGGGATCTTTCTGGACCAGGGCTCGAACCTGTGTGCCCTGCATTCGCAGGCATATTCTTAACCACTGTGCCACCAGGGAAGCCCTGAAGACTCCTTTTTAAGGAGAGGAGCCTGGTTTCATTCACCTTTACGCATGGACTGGTACTTTTTAGAGGAGGAGGAGAAAAAGTAAGGTTCAGTTTTTTTGTTTGTTTTTAAGATTTTAACTAACAATGGTGATCAGCAAATACTCCTCTACTGCTATGTATAAACATTTTGCTTTCCTAGGATACATATACAAGCAAGCACTCACCAAAGGGTCCTGCAATCCTGAGGCTGGCTAAAGGGTTAAAGGGAGTCAATGCTGCTCCCAAGGCTCTGATCCAAATTGGAATTGGTCTCTCTTCATCAGCAAGGTGTGGTCGCTCAGGAAAACCCCAAGGCTCCACTAAAATGAGATGACTAACCCTGCATGGGAAAGAACAGACTTCAGATCATTTGGAAAATTCACCCTAGGACTATAAAGAAATTACACGATTTATAAAGTAAAAATAGAATGAACTTCCTTCGAAAACCTTGCATTAAAGAAAAAACTAATGACTGAACAGGTTACATCATGCTCTTATTATGCATGAATTGATGAGATTTGGTAGGATTTGAGAGTTGTTATGGTAGAAAGAGGGCTTCATTTTTAATCTTTCTATATGTGGAAAGTAACGGATGTGTGAAAGGGTATATGATAACTGTGGTTATTCTTGAGAAACAAGAAAAGACAGCATTTGTTGTTGTTTAAGCTACACTCTGGCAGATGATATAGATCACTGACCATTCAGAAAAATCCAATGGTTCCACGTATCTCATGGTTGACACTGCAGAAATGACTGGAGATTAATATTACACTCATAAAATGGCTTCGGACACCAACAATAGTTATCTCCTATGAACCAAATCATTCTAAAAATTTATGAGGCATTAGCACTTTAGGTGGATTCAAAAGGACTTTGAATGAACGTTTGACAAACATGAAGATGATGTAACAATATGGGCTGAAATTATACCCTTAGTTTGGGATTTCAGTTTGGTGAACAGGAACACATTTACCCTATGCATAACATCATGATATACTGGCATTAGATTCTGTTCCTAATCCTTTCCTAATTTTCTTCTTTACTTCAAAGAGACAGAAAAGCTTCATTCCAAACTCATATAAAAATTGTTTCATGTCACTAATAGTTTTAATTTTTCCATCTTAGGAAGCATCTTTCTGATGAGGGAAAACCAGAACCATGTCCTTGTGATTGTATCACGGTATAACACATCATAAAGATCTTCAACAAAACATAAATGTCCTGACGCAAAACGATATTCAACTGTAGCCAAAACAGTCAACAAATGGCAGCAAAAATCTCCCAAGGGTGAACCGACACTGATTCTGTGTTGGTCATAATCGAAATAGAAAGGTAAAAAAAACAGAACATGGGAACAGACAGCTATTATTTTCCCAATATAAGAAGTTTTCTTATTTTTGTCAGTACAGATAAGGATGAGTTAGTAATGAATCCTTTGCTCTGACTGCATTTTCTCAAACAGAAAGCTTCAGAGCACAGACCCAGAGCATAGAGCTCCAAGGACCCTTGGAGAATACTCAGCCCAATCTTTCATCTCATCAGATGAGAAGAAAGCCGAGATGTACTATGTGACTCACTCCAGAACCTCAAGCTAGTCAATGCAAAACTAGGGCTATGATCCTTATTTCCCAACCCCAGTGTACTAACAGACGCCAACAAGCCATCGGGCAGAAGGCTCTCTTTCCTAAGAATAGGCCAAGCAACATAAGCTAAACAGATTAGTAAAGGTAGGGCTTAACTCTTACCAACTCTAGGCCAGTCCTAACACTATACTCTAAATCTCATAGCATCTAGAAGATCTGTAGAATGTGACTATGAATCTGTGTGAAGGTATGTCAAATGTGAGATTTCCATATACTTACAGTAACATCACTGCTTAAAAGTTTTATGAGACTATTTTCTAATAGTGTATGGAAATGGCAGTGAAAGTGAATTTTTTTTAAAAAAAGTTATCTCTCATATTCTGACTGCCTCCTAAATTCCTATGACAGCCCACAGTGAGATTTGAGGGTTGGGGAGGGGGACATATGCCAGAGGTATGAGTGGAATTAATGAAACAGCCACCTAGTTGAAAGCAGCAAAGCTTCATTTCGGGGAAATAGCTGGTATTATTCACTACTGACTTACCTAAAGAGAAAAACGAACTCTTTATTAAAACATACTCTACAGGAAAAGATGATTAAATTTTCTTACAAACTTGTTATAGGATTTTGCCCAGTCTGCTCTGAGCTCTTACTGACCTGCTAACCCAAGAAGGGGCAGGACAAAGGAAACTTGAGGGAGGAAAGTCTCACCTATCTCTAGTTAACTGATGGTATTGTTTTTGCCTTAGTTTTGGCTTGCCTTGTTTAGTATGGATCTATGAGATTTTAACAGGTTACACAGAGTATATATACAGGAGCAGATAACATTTTTTTTCTTTTTGAAATGGAGTAAATTGCCCCAACTGTTGTTTGATCCTATGCCTTCAGCCTAGCACATGGTAGATGCTCAGTAAATATTTGGAATATTGTGCTTTTCCAGTTTCCTTTTGATCCTTATCTATAATGATGTACAAATTTTATAAAGTATAACCAGAGTAAGCATAGGAGTTAGTCCAGTCTGAATTTTTCTGGTCCCCTGGATGACATTAGAACACCACTGTTATTTCTCATATTAATCTTGCAGGTCATTACTCATTAGTGGGTAGTAAAATCCACTTACAGAGTCAGAGCCAGTCTGTTTTTTAATAAAATTGTATAATTTGGAATAGAAAAATGTATCATATAACAAAACTTTTGTTTCAGACACACATATAATCATTACTGAGGGTTGTAGTCAAAAAAGTTGGAAAACAATTTTTTAAAAGCTCTGCAACAACGTCTAAACTGTAGTTATATATCATCTGCCTCCACTTGTAAAAAACCTCAGAAATTAACTGTCGCTTATTTTTGGTTGTAAGGATTTTAAATGAGAGACCATGCAAAGCACTTAGGCTGGCGGCTCTCAAATAACAAATACCCAGTAAATGCTAGCTAGTTATAGTAGCAAATACAGGAAGATTACTAGAGAATAATTCATTCTAGAAGCATGGGAAGACAGTGGCTGGGACCATGTAAGGAATGAGTAATTTAACTTTTTTTATTCTTCAGAAAAGCTTTATCACAGGCTTTGGCTCACACTCCTTATAATCCTGCACCAGACCAAGTTCCCAGGCTATCTTCTCACCTGCTTCTCTAGTAAGAAGATTATCTCCTCATTTGCTAGGCGCTATTTAGTTTTAATGTATATCCAAACTCATATACTAATCCAGACTCGACCCTCTAATATCCCATAGAGGATAGCCTGATGGGATTGTTAGTTCACATCTAGGCTTAAGGAACGGGTCTAGCCAGACAGCATGTGAGTCATCCTATCAGACATCTTTATCAAGAATCAGAGGCTAGGGACCTCCCTGGTGATGCAGTGGTTAAGAATCCACCTGCCAATGCAGGGGACACAGGTTCAAGCCCTGGAAGCCCGGGAAGATTCCACATGCCACGGAGCAACTGAGCCTGTGCACCACAACTACTGAGTCTGCACTCTAGAGCCCGCGAGCCCCAACTACTGAGCCCTCATGCCACAACTACTGAAGCCCAAGTGCCTAGAGCCCGTGCTCCACAACAAGAGAAGCCACTGCAATGAGAAGCCCGCGCACCACAATGAAGAGTAGCCCCCACTCTCCACAACTAGAGAAAGCCTGCGCACAGCAATGAAGACCCCCTCCCCTAAAGAAAAGAAAGAGAAAAAAAAAAAGAATCAGAGGCTAATGCAAACTACAGGAAAAACAAAGAACCAGCAAAGCAGGAACACAAGAAGAGCTCATCAGTATAGAAACATAATGAAGCATTCTTCTCCAGGTTAGTCATTACAGTAGGTCTTGAGTTTGAAGATGGTGAGCAGATTACAGCCTACAGGGCAAAGAGGTAGGTAACACCTGCTCCAACATTCTGGGACAGCTGAGTCTAAATGCTAACAAGTCTATGGAAACCTGACTTTCACAAGACTTAAAGTCAGCTACCAGCCAGAAATAATACAACAGGAATGACCAGACCCAGAACCAAAATGTACAAAGGAGTTTACAGGACCTACTAAGGAACAAGGAAAAGGACCAGAAAGAACTCGAGTCAGTGCACAAATGAGGCATTCTCAAAAAGAAGTTAGCCCCAGATAGTTCCCATTGGTTCCAAGCCACTGAGGGGAGGATGGGGCACAGAACAATAAACTTAAATACCTCTAACTTCGAGTCAAGTAGAACAGTCTTTCTTCTCAAGACAGGCTGATAAGAAATGCTCAGCCCAGCTCCACATAGTCTGGGGACAGGAGACAGAGCCAGGCAAGGTCAAAAGCAAGATGATTTGAAAACCTTTTAGTGGAGAAGACCAGTTGTAACCTATACTCTTGTGACTTGGAATGGATCTCTTTGCTAAACACTTTCTAAGTTAATAAAAGTTTTCATAGTGTCCTTTTCCTTAGTTTATAACAAATACCTATAAAATACAGATAGTCTCTGTATGGGATCCTGAACAGCAGGGGCCAGAATGAAAAGGAAAATGAAAAGGAAACACTGAGTACACAGATGAAAGAAAGGAGACGGTATCTTTGGCTATTGTTGCTGGTTTCCTCTATTCCCTTTGTTCCCCCCTTAAGGTGATCAGACACTGCTTGATGAAGAAGATTTTACAGAGTGGCAGCCCAAGACACCTCACACAGTGGTCCTGTTTAATTAATGCACATTAATCTACAAGTAAAATTACAGAAAACATCTCTAATTATCACACATCACGGTAAGAGAACGGGGATGAACTAAGGTCATTTTAGCGGAAGGAACGTGAGGTTTGTGCCTCCATTTGGAGTTATCCATTAATCAGTTCATAACTTCTCTGCCCACCAACCACACAGCCTTTCCAGAATGGCCCAGATGTCCCCCTAGAACAGGGCCTTTGCAATTTTTGTCCCTACTACCTAGAATGCTCTCCTGCTACATCCCTTTGAGACCTCCGCCTCAGCTCGAATTACACTTCTTTAGGATACCATAATGGACCTGAGACTGGGTCAGATATTCATCAAGATTTCTCACAGCTGTCATGCTACTCATGTGGTTATTTGTGTCTTTTCCCCCAATGCACTGTAAGCCTTACAAGCACACAAAGTCACTCAACATTATTTTAACAGAACCAACCTGTTTATTTCAATGAAGGACTCATCCAGGTACTTTTACATAAAGAATCACAATTGCTGAATACTCAGTTTTTAATCAATATCAAGAATCTGGGGAAAATATGGGATCACTGCCACAAGTTAGGCTATAGAACAACTTTTATGGACAGAGGCACTCTGCTGCTCATAGAGATGAAGCACACAGGTTGACCTAATGTACCAAAAATTGGAAAAAATTAGTTTTTATTTATTTTCTATTATTAGAATCATTCCTAAACAAGTACATTAAACTAGGCATTTTCACACTTCTCCTCAAACTGTCCTATAAAAATAAACAAAGAATGAAAGAATGGGGCTGCCCATAAAAGATTAAGGGCAGAAATAGGTATGGATTGGGACATAAGTCCCAACAAGTAAAAAAAAGTGTTGTCTTTGTGGTTTTTTCCTCCATGCATAGGAACAATAGAAATTAAAGAGCTGTGGTTTTACTTAGGAGAAAAAAAAAGTACAGATTATATCTATCATACCTGAGGAGGCAAAGAAAAAAGTCATATTCTCAAAGTCCACTTGAGAAAAAAGAGAGAAAGAGAGATAAGAAAAGCAGCATAGTGAGTGAAGGAAATTAACTGAACCTCATCTGGTCTCTATTAGACCATTTTTTCCCCTCCTCTCACCCCACCCCACCAAAATCTTTCTGAAACTCAAAGATTTAATCTCATGACAGCATAATAAAAATGGTCCTTGTAGGGGAGGCTATGCATGTGTAGGAACAAGGATTACATGGGAAATCTCTATACCTCCCTCTCAAACAGCTCTAAAAAAAGTTTTTTAAAGGTACCTGGATCAAGTTAAAGTTGGATAAGTGACATTTAGAGTAGGTAGTTACTTACAGTATACAACAGACCACTCCGCTGCACCAGAGAAAATATGTGTATGCCACCAAGCAGCTTTTCTGGCTCAGGTAAAACCTCTCAGATCACACAGATGGCGACCCTGACAACCACCCAACTGCTTAGTAGGAGTGCAACTTGAAGAAACAGCTAATGCTAAATCTCACTCACTATGAGGCTTGCTATAATTATGAACACTTACACTGGTAACAGTCAATTGTGTTTAACTACATTTGGATCTGTGAGTCTGCTGAACTGTTCTATTAACCATAACATCTGATCTTCTATGGAAATCTAGATGAATTTGCTTAGTCAGGATCAAGCAGAAAAAGTTTCTGTAAGGTAAGAAGTTAACACAAATGGGGACCATTACGGAGCAGTGAGGACGTCTGCAGCAAAGGAAATGATGTCTCTATAAGAACAGAGACATTCTTATTTATTGATCTCTTTCTTCTCCGGTAAAAGAGAAGTGCTCCAAGGAAAGCCATCCCGAAAAGCAACATAGGAAAAAAGCTAGGGGGAAGGAGAACCCTAGAGGTTAACTGCCACCTTCCTATACTGTGTGCTACACTGTGGTATCATCTGGTCTATACTTACTAATCATACAAAATATGATTTTGTGACCTCCCCCCAGATTAGCAACATAAATAATAGGAAATAGCATAAGAAAATAAGGTAAAGAAAGGAAGAGAGGGCTTCCCTGGTGGCGCAGTGGTTGAGAGTCCGCCTGCCGAAGCAGAGGACACGGGTTCGTGCCCCGGTCTGGGAAGATCCCACATGCCGCGGAGCGGCTGGGCCCATGAGCCATGGCCGCTGAGCCTGCGCGTCCGGAGCCTGTGCCACAGCAGTGAGAGGCCCGCATACCGCAAAAAAAGAAAGAAAGAAAGGAAGAGATGTTACAAAGATTCTGAAGTAAACACTCATTAATTCAATGACTCAGAAAAAAATTCTATGGCAATAAAGGTTAGGGCACAGTATAATAATAAAAAAAAGCCAGAAGATATTCTATGCAGGTGTATTTTCTGTAGCTTAGAGATGTGGAAACTAAAATTTAGAGATTAAGTGATTTGCTCTAAGCCGTAAAGATAGCACTAGCACCTACGTCTTCTAATTTCTAACCTCTGGTTTTCTATTGCAGCTTACTAAAACCTGGAAAAGGTTAGGAAAAGCCTGCTGGATCCATAGGTCTAATGATAATAATAACTGTAAACAATAACAACAGTTTTTACTCGTGGCTTAAATTGTGTACATTCTAACAAACAGAAAGTCCTTTCACAAGCCTCCTACCAATGTGTAGCATATGTAATAGGAAAACCTGACAACACTATTTCTGCTACTAAATTGGCCATCAGTTGTGGCTATTCAGTCTACAGGGTCCTTTAAGACAATATCTGTCTTATAAGGTTCAGACACCAACAACCACCAAAGAGGGGAACTGGAAACCAGCGCTTGGGTGCCTCTCTTTTGTCACCATCACTTACCTTGATGGGTACTTCAGTGAGTAGGCAGCACCCAGGAACCCACCCAGGTTGTGTCCAAGCAAAATCATTTTGTCCAATCCTAATGCACATCTCCACTCTTCAATGGATTCCACAAACTGATTCTCTACTTCTTCTGCATCACTGTCAAATCTGGGTCGGCTACTTCGTCCAAAGCCCAGCAGGTCAAAAGCATAGACAGGTCTATTGGTGCAAAGATCTCCAAAATTCAGTGCCCAGAGTCCAAGACCTCCTCCAAAACCATGGAGGAGGACAAGTGGAGTCTTATTTGAAATATTATGAGAAAGCTTCAGTGTCCATATTTTATTTCCATTAGATATACGAACAGGTCCTTTTTTGTATGTGCAGGGGACACCTAATGGAAACATAAAAGAGAAATTCTGCTTAGTGTCACTACTTCTGAGAAGGGGAGTATTCTCAGAGCAATCAGAAATTAATAATTTAGAAACCATCTGGTATTCATTTATATGAGTTTAGCCTTTATTATATCAGCCCTAAAAAAAAAGTGCACATTTTATTGAAGCAATTATTTTTTTCTTTAATTTTATTTATTTATTTGTTTGTTTACTTCTTCATTGTGGTGCACAGGCTTCTCATTGCAGTGGCTTCTCTTGCTGCAGAGCACGGGCTCTAGGTGAGCGGGCTTCAGTAGTTGTGGCATGCAGGCTCAGTAGTTGTGGCATGCAGGCTCAGTAGTTGTGGCTTGCAGGCTCTAGGGTGCAGGCTCAGTAGTTGTGGTGCACACACTTAGTTGCTCCGCAGCACATGGGAGCTTCCCGTACCAGGACTCAAACCCATGTCCCCTGCACTGGCAGGCGGATTCTGAACCACTGCACCACCAGGGAAGTCCCAAAGCAAGTATTTCTTAATTACCATATTTTACATCTTGGTGGTAAGATCTATCTCAGACAAGTCTCAAGCAACTGTGGCCTAGGTTTTCTGGCAAGTCATGTCAGCTCTTTGGACTTCTTTCCATATCTATCAGTTGAGGGTACTGGAGTGGAACTTAGTGGCTGCTGAATCCATTATTTTAAAGTCTCTAGCTTTACAGACAATAGAATACTACCTTGTATGTGTAGAACACTTGAAGATTAAGCATTGAACGTTGAACTCAGACTCAAAAGAAACATTTTTCCCTAAAACATCATCATGAATTTAGGGAAGAATTAACATGTATTAAACACATAACTGAAATCTTAAGTCATCATAATGTTTAGTAGAAAAAGATGGCAGGAACTCCTCAGCATGAGGTGCCAGGTAGTCTGAGTTCGTATCCAACAATCTCTCTAGAGAAAGCAAATAATCACAATTTTGTAGATAAAAAATCTTTCTTGCCCTCAATGCTACAGGACTAAATACTTTAAATCTCCCCCAAAACTGACTAAAGATGAAACTTATTTGAAATTCTTTTACATTAAATTATCAACTGAATAGCTACACTTAAGATATATCTTAATTATTTGTGCATATACATCTGCAGTGGACAAACACGGAGAACCGGGAGTTTCTGCCCTTTAACCAAATAATCTCCAGTTTTGTACCCACATAGTGGCAGAGGGGAAACCCAGCATTTGCTCAGAATATTAACAGAGCCCAGAGTGAGTGGAAATGACACCAGTTTAGAAAAGGAGGTGATCCGGTACTAGTGCCAAGCCAAACCACATTCTGAACATAGATGTCTGCACATTCCCATAAAAACGATCTGTGACCTCTATGAGAGAGCTCACCCCACTGTATTAGCTGCTTGCTTCTATGTCTGATATTAAAGCAGGGGCCAATTCTCACTCCTATTTGCATCCCTAGAACCCAGCAGTAGGAAATCAGTATGTCTGTTAAACACATGAATTGAGTATCTAGCACCCTTTTTTTTAATCTCCTGACAAGAATTTTTTCTTTTAGTAAATCACAATGACAACTTTGCCAGCTTTGTAGAGAACAAGATTACCCAAACATACAGAGTAGAAATCCATTTGCATGTTAAAAATCCAAATAAGATGGCTAATTGTCCCCTTCTTTGGATATATCCCGTTATGGTCACTTACTCCTGAATCATTCAAATGCACAAACAAAATTCATTTGTGGCAGAGAGTATGAAAAACAGGTGTGGACAAGTATATGCACAAATATACATAATAATCATGTATGTGCACTGCACCACTTAAGCTCTTCCTCTAAACAAAATTTCACAGTAAACACCTTTACTTGAAAGTATACCCACAGATATCTGGGAACACTCTGACAGTAAAAGTGTGGGTAAATTTCAGTGCTCACAAGAAACAAAAAAGATAAAGGTTTCCACACTACTATAAATGTAGACATAAAGAATCCTAGAATACTAGACTAAGGATCACCCCGCCCACTCCTCTTATGGGCAAAAACTAGGAAGGTGAGAAAAGGAACTTGCCCAAGACGCTGTAACCCCTGGACTGCAGCCCTGCGCCTAGAACAGGTTACCTGGATGTAGTCGTATGTGTTCTACTAGACAAGGCTACTTGCTCTGCGATATGTGTTCTACTAGACAAGGCTACTTGCTCTGCCTGCTCTCAGAGCAGTCTGCGGACCTCTGGTGAGCCACAGATCCTTTCAGGAGGTCTCACGAGGTCAAAACTATTTTCATAACAATCTAAGACTTTATTTGCCTTTTTCACTCTCATTCTCTGATGGGTATACAGTGGAGTTTTCCAGAGGTCACATGATAAGTGACTACCAACAGTCTGAATGCAGAAGCAGATATGAGAATCCAGCTGCCTTACATTAAGCCAGATATTAAAGAGGTGTAAACTTGTAAACAATGTTACTCTTTTCACTACATTTGTTTAGAAAGCAGTTATTTTTAGAAAACATGTTATTTATTTTAACCTGCAATGGGTTTATTACTATTGTTTTAAAATAAATTAATAAGTTGACATATTTTGAATTATTCAGCTTTAATTTTTTTTTTTTTTTTTTTTTGGCGGTATGCGGGCCTCTCACTGTTGCAGCCTCTCCCGTTGAGGAGCATAGGCTCCGGACACGCAGGCCCAGCGGCCATGGCTCACGGGCCCAGCCGCTCCGCGGCATGTGGGATCCTCCCTGACCGGGGCACAAACCCGTGTCCCCTGCATCGGCAGGCGGACTCCCAACCACTGCGCCACCAGGGAAGCCCTCAGTTTTAATTTTTAATACAGTAAATATTGATAGCTATAACCTCTAAACAAAGTTCCTTGGGGTACTTCCTAATTTAAGAGTATAAAAGGGACTCAAGACCAAAAAGTTTGAGAACCCTTGACTTCTTCCCACACTTATGTACTTACTGATGACACGTAAAAGGAAAAAAAAGTTCTTTTGCCAACAACTAACACACAACAGAATCTGATCTTCAGTTTCAAGGCGATGCTTTATATTGGACCTATTTTAGTAAATGGCTCAGTTAACTTATAAGAAGAAAACCTTACATTTTAAAATTTTCTCTTCAGCTTCTTTAAGGTGTGATGTTGACGAAGGACACCATGTGGGAAGCCAACCAGTTAGCCATCCTGACCTGGAGCATCAAAAACAAAATACAAATAAGTGAGTTAATGCTCTTCTCAACTCCCAACTGTTACATAGGGAGAAGAAAAGCAGAATAGAAAGTATACTGTCCGTGTGACGAGGAAGCTATCTGTATGTGACAAATTCACCTAATAGGTACAAAGCATTGTGATAAAATACTGGGATACAGATACCTTCAACCTGAGAACCTACAAGTAGATCTCCAAGTCCATCTTACCTTCATGGATAGTCAGATTCCACATAATCAAGCAGAGACTAAAAATGGGCAGAACAAGAAAAGACAAAAAAGGCATTCCACCACCCCACTGCAAGACACTTTCTTATCAGGGTGGAAGTACAAAAAAGTTAAAGACCATGAGTATGATCATTTCAATGGCAGGTTCACAGCAAGTACAAAATATACCTACTGTGAGGGCTGAGAGAAGAGACGTCTTATTAAAATATGAGATTTTTTTTAAAGCTTCAAATCTCATGGTTAAGTGTAGAACACACCCCTAATACAAATGCAGAGGATGAGCTCATGTCCAATCTACCTAGCATGAATGGTTAACTTTTAAAAGCTTTGGATTCCAGCAAACAGTAGATGATAAGAAGGCCCCAGGCATCTGGCAGAAGACAGGGAAACAAAGAGAACAAGGAAGCAGGCCTTGCGCAAGAGGAGACAAAAGGCATGGGGAGGCTGGAACTGACACACTTTGCTCTTAGCCAACCAAGGAGAGGGTGAGCCTTCAACTCCTGGTCTAGCAGCAGACCCCAGGCATATCCTAACAATCTGAGATAATGCAGGGCATTAGCAGTCATCTGACAGTTAGCAAGCGCTCAGCATATGGCCAGTATCACTTAAAGTGAGAACTTTCTCATCAAAGAGAAAATGAATTAAAGAAGAAGAGAAGCCAACTACTGCAGAGTCCAGATGAGAGGTAAGAGCCAGAACGAAGGCTTTGGCAACAGGAATGGAGACAAGAAGATGAGGAATATTTAAAATTAAACAGGGGGCTTCCCTGGTGGCATAGTGGTTGAGAGTCCCCCTGCCAATGCAGGGGACACAGGTTCGTGCCCCAGTCCAGGAAGATCCCACATGCCGCGGAGTGGCTGGGCCCGTGAGCCATGGTCGCTGAGCCTGCGCGTCCAGAGCCTGTGCTCCGCAACGGGAGAGGCCACAGCAGTGAGAGGCCCGCGTACCGCAAAAAAAAAAAAAAAAGAATAGCTGTGAAAAGAGAAATGTGCTAAGTTCTAAATGCGCTGATACAGCATCTACCTTTTCTAAGCTTTGTAGGCTCATCCTACTGCATTTCCCTTCCCTGTAAAATTTCTCTGGGCATTATGTATAACAGGCGCTCAATAAATAATGTTTGCTGAATGATTAAGTCACTCACAAACCAAGGTACTCTCAGTCCAAGCTACACCCATTTCACAGATGTGAACACTGAGGTTCAGAAATGCAGGCCCAAGAGTATTCAGCTAGTAAGTGACATAAGCAGAGATGTGACCTGAATTCTGAGTGACTTCAAAACACTTTTTATCTCAGGTGACTACCTTCCTTAAAATGTCTGAGGAGTTGTCAGAATAAAATCACATTCCTTAAATCTGCACAGAAGATGCTTTACAATCCATCCACAGGTTACTTCGCCCCATCTTGTCTTTTCACATTGTACTTGTTTTTTTTTTTTGCGGTACGCGGGCCTCTCACTGTTGTGGCCTCTCCCATGGTGGAGCACAGGCTCCCGACGCGCAGGCTCAGCGGCCATGGCTCACGGGCCCAGCCACTCCACGGCATGTGGGATCTTCCCGGACCGGGGCATGAACCCGCGTCCCCTGCATCGGCAGGCGGACTCCCAACCACTGCGCCACCAGGAAAGCCCCACGTTGTACTTTTTCAATACCTCATAACTCCCAAAATTTCATGTTATTTTATGCCTCTATGGCTTTTCCCTCTGCCCAGAATACCTTGCCTTTTCTGAGATACTGTCCCTGATCCTGATGCCAAGAGCACAGGTGATTAGTCAGTCCTCTGGCCCTTGTTACAGGTATAGTTACTATTGCTGTGGTTACTTGTCTACTATTTATCTGCCCTACTGCACTCTGAGCACAATGAATACTAAACCCACGTTAAAAGTCATTCGTATATTGCCAGTGCCAAACACACTAACCGGCTTGTGGCCACGTGAGTGCCTGGTAACTGTGTGTGTGAAATGAAGGCCTTGGTCAAATGAAATACAAGAAGCGGATGGAGGAAGGCAAATGAGGTTCATTTCTATAGGCAGAGAGCACTTACAGTTCCACTAGTTCTTTATTAGGTGACAGGATATGGGCAAGATGTGGGCCTGAAACCCCCCCAAAACAAAACAAACAAATGTCAACGCAAAAAGATCAGTCAAGAAAAGGGTAATCAATAGAATGAACAATTTAGGAAGGTGATGAAAAGCACTGTAACTCACATTTTTTCTCATATATATTTTTCCTTTTTATCTGCTAGTCAACTTTCTTCTTGTCTCTTTATCTTCAGATGTAAAAACTTCCTAGTAAGGTCCGTAAGTAAGCATGTATATATGTATGTATGTATGCATGTACACACAAACACAGGATTAAAGGACAGGACTATAAGCAGATGTATTTGGTCAGGTTTTCATGGCATGTGGGTTATACTATGGAGATATTATGTGAATAAAAGAATGTCAGGGTTCCAGTTCAAGATGGAAGATCCTGATCTCACCTCCTCCACACTCACACTGAAATCTACAGCTACACATTCAACAATTTCCTCTGACAATAACCTAAAAACTGGCAGAGCAAGGCCCTCCACATCACCCAAACCAGAGAGAAACCACACCGAAGCAGGTAGGAAAGGCTGAGACACAATCTCACAATAAACCCCACCCTGGTGCAGCGACCCACAGTCGGGAGGGAACTCAAAACCCAGAGCTTCTCCCTGAGGAGCAAAGGGCTCATAACCCACATTGGGCACCCCAATTTTTAAGACTGGCAGCTGAAAGATGAGCCCCCAAAATGTCTGGCTTTGAAGACCAATGGGGCTCAAGCCCATGAAACACATGGGGTGTGGCAAATCGAGGAATGGCTCTGAAAGGGCTTGTGTGCAGACTCACCTGCACCAGGGCCCAGCACAGAAGCAGCCTTTTGAAATCACCCAGGCTTTACGTGAAAGAGACTAATTTCCTAATTTTAAAGCAATGGCCGAAGCAGCAGGGGCCTGCTGGGATGCTCTCCAGGGATGGAGACTGGTGGACACCATCTTCCTGCTCCCCCTCTGCCATTTTATGTTTGGTGACCCAGTTTTTATGTTTGCTACCCAGAGGACACCCCTTGATCACCTGGCTCTGGCAGTCAGAGGGGCTTGTGTTCCTGGGTCCCATGGGACTGTAACAATCAGAGAGACAGTTCTTGGCAGACTGCCACTCTCAGGACACCACACAGACAGTTGACAGAAACACTTCCCTAGTCTCTCTGAGAAAGTGGCCTATTTGTTTGTCCAGGAGTTTTGGCCTTAGAAGCAGGTTTCTGGTTTGGCACACATTAACGACTACAGAGGTGCTTTCATGGAACAGAGGCTGGGAGATGCCATTTTGCACTCACCCTCTGCCTTGCTATAGCTCACCAATATCTCCCAGAAAGGAGCTTGTGTACTCCTCTGGAGCCCTGATTTGTGCGACTGCTACCCAAGCGACGCATCCAAACCTGGAGGCCAGCAAGGCTTACGGTTGTGGTCCCACAGCAATATATATATATACACATATTTGCATTATTTAAAAACTGATACCTAAGGTTTTGGCTTCCATTCAGCCTGAATCTAGGTGCTGACTGAGATACTCCCCTTTGGGACACTGGCCTTGGCACATCCTCAACTACTGGGAACCAGTAAAAATAAAATAAGCTTCTTGGACAATCACAAAGGTTTGAAAGACACGAAGAGCTAGGGCAGGGTTAAACAATAAGGTTTATCTCCTATGGTCAACCCTTTAAGACTGGGAGAAGTGGTTGTTTTTCATCTATTGCACAGAAACCAACAGAGAATCAAGCAAAATGAAGAAACAGAGGAATGTGTTCCAAACAAAAGAACATGATAAAACCCCAGGAAAAAAGAAAAAAAATGCTAATGAAACAAAGATAAGTAATTTACCTGATAAAGAGTTCAAAGTAATGGTCGTAAAGATGCTCACTGAACTTGGGAGAATAAACATGGTGAGAATTTTGACACAGAGACAGAAAATACAAGAGAGTTCCACACAGAAATCACAGAACTGAAAAATATGAACTAAAAAATACACTAGATTTGGGAATTCCCTGGCAGTTCAATGGTTAGGACTTGGCTCTCTCACTGCAGGGGCCCGGGTTCAATCCCTGTGCAGGGAACTAAGATCCCAAAAGCCACACAGTGTAGCCAAACAAACAAACAAAACAAAACACTAGGTGAGTTCAACATCAGACTAGATAAAGCAGAAAAAAAAGGATCAATGAACCCAAGACAGGGCAGAGGAAATCACCCAAACAGAGCAGGAAAAAGAAAAAAGAATGATAAAAAAAAAAATAAAGATACCATAAGGGACTTGTAAGAAAACATCAAGCTGAGTAATATTCACACTTTAGGGGTCCCAGAAAAAGAAGAGAGAGAGAAAAGGGCAGAAAACTTATTTTAAGAAGTAAGGGCTGAAAACTTGCCTAACCTGGGAAAAGAAAAAGACATCCAGATCCAGGAAGCCCAGAGAGTTCCAAATAAGATGAACCTAAAGAGACCCACACAAAGCACATTATAATTAAAATGCCAGAAGTTAAAAACAAGGAGAGAATCTTAAAAGCAGAAAAAGAAAAATAATTTTTTATACATAAGGTACCTCATAAGTCTCCCAGTTGATTTTTCAGCAGAAACTGCAGGACAGAAGGGAGTGGCATGATATATTCAAAGTCATGAAAGAAAAAAAATTTCGAACCAATAACACTTTAACCAGCAAAGTTATTCAGAACTAAATAAGAGGT